TTGAAAAAATTATGCTAAATGGTATGAATCCTTTAGAGTCACGTTCGATGAGCTACATTTACCCAGATACTTATTTTCATTTACATTGTAGAAGCTCAAAATGAAGTTTGAAAAAATGAAGTTGCCTGTTTCTTGCCCCAAAAAGACAAATTTCTGAAAATATAGTCAAACTCGAGTAATAATTTTGCTTCTTCATTGAAAATGAAATATACAATATAATAACGAAAAATATCGAAAACAAATAGTATTTTCAACATAGGAAGAATCGTTGACGTTTCCTGCGTCTTGATCTCCGTTAACATTGCCAGAAATTGGGTCCTCTTCGTCTACAGTAAAATCGGGTAACTCCTGGAGTTGCCCGACTCTTGCACCTCAATGGCTCATCAGATGAATCCTTTCCCGTGAACTTAAAAGGAAATTGTCGGACTCGCTTGATTCTTGCACCAGAAGATGCGCAAGAAAAAATTCTGTATGTTACAATACAATAACCCAATTTCGGCATAAAATGGAGTTGCCCGGTTCTTACAAAGAGGTCTTCAAATTCACCTTGAAGTGGTATGGTTTTTTTCAACCAGGCCGTTCTACAGATGTTTCATGTTCATAGCATCGGTGGTTCAGTGGTAGAATGCTCGCCTGCCACGCGGGCGGCCCGGGTTCGATTCCCGGCCGATGCAACTTTTTTTTTCTGTTTCTAATGTGGTTCCCCCTTTCACCTCCACTATATGCGTTTGTTATTAAATAACAGTCAGTATTATTATGTCCGATAGATTAGTTGACTGAAACCTCAGTGTAGCTATAGTTATAAATAGTGATTTATAAAGCTTATTTCTGCTGTAGAAGAAGCATCACATTCTAAGGACCTGTGTGGAACCGCTGTTATATCTGTGTTCGAGAGGATTTCTCATATGATAATATATTATTCAACAAGCATAATATCATGAGGGTTATTATTCTCGCAGGTTAAGTTTATGTCACGAGCGTAGCGTAGCGTAGTCGCCAACAGAATATATCTTACGCACAAGCATTTATTTATAAATTTTATCCATTCAAATTAATATAATTTCAATATTCTGCCTCAAAATGTTTTCATCAGAACCAGGGGCGTCCACAGAGATAATCTCAGGGGGAGGGGCAATTCAAAATAATAATGTACGGGGTGACACGCTTTATAAAGTTCCAACCTCTGCACCTCCTTTATTTTTGACAGTATAGAAAACAAGATAAGAATTTCCTAACAGGGGATTATTTTCCTTCTCGAATCAACAGATACATTTTCACTATCTGCAAAGATATACAGGAAGTAGTAGAAGTTTATGAATTTCAAATGAAACCCTCTATATATTTCCTCGCCAATAGAATGACCTTTCGAAGAGCTTCCCAAAAATACAGTATTCTATACAGGGTGTCCCGTGACTCAATGGCCATAACTTACGGGCATGTTCCTTGAAAAATTTCAAGTCGAAAAAGCATTATACACTTTTGTCTTGGCCTTAACAATTAAGAAGTTATGAGCAATTAAATAACAACTTTGCTCACCAGTAGATTTCAAGAGGTGGTCGAGTTCTTTGATCACCAAGGTTACTTGACCACTATTATCACGAGCGTCTTACGACACAACCATCTTGGCAAATCCAAGGTCAAATATGATTTGTGATATGTCAATTATGTCAAGTGGTGCAAAATATTTTGATTTTTTTGAATTCGGATTCAGTTAGCGCGTAGAAGTCGTCGAAGTTATATTTTCCAATTGAGAATATTTTATAATTTTATATTTTGAATGGAGGATATGAAAAGGGATTGTGAATTAATAATAGCTATGTGTGATGCATCATTGTCCCTATCTGAAGAACAACATCGATATATTCTGAATAATTGCGATAAAATTATAGACATAACGAATGAAGGAAAGACTATTCATTTTGGAACAAATTAATACTGATAGAACAACAGACAAGCAAGTGCGTTTATTTTCTACTAAGAAGAAAAGAACCAAAGAAGCTTGAATATTCAAAAAATCAAGTATTCTTGACCAAAAAGATATAATCGGTATAGTCTTTCAAATAAAAATGATTTTTAGGATTTCTTCATAACCTATTCATAACAGATATTGTTCTACATATTGATAGTTCATTGATGTATTGAACATTTATATGCCTGGAACTTATTACATTTTTTTGTACTAGAATTAATAGTCCTATCCCTGCAAACATTGAACTAGAGGGAGAAGTCCGGCCTAGTGCAGGCTGGTCTGGGAAAGTGACGATGCCGGGGTATTGGTATTGGGCCGACAATTTTCCTATGCCAAGTAACCATCAGTTGAAAATACGATGATGGCCTTGTGATGGTAAGATGTCTGGTACTAATTGAATACTTACGATATTTGGCCCTTTGCTGGCCAATTTCATGTTCGCTACTCGTCCCTCTGGTGGATGTTCTGGGAACGTCTACAGCAACAATCAGCTGATCAATATCATATGTGACTGAGATGGCTGACTCTCGTGAGTGGTGATCGCGTACTAGTTTGTTTTTGTCGAATTAATGTGGTCTTCTCTTTCCCTGGTGGTTATTTATGATGGCAGGAGTATTCTCAATTGATATTAAGAGAAGACGGATTTTCCAATTATAATAATATTGAGTGAGTATCAATCTACCTATACATAGAGTTTCGAATTTCATTATCAAATGCATGTGTTTGGTATCTCGCAACCTCATATACCTTTATGGTCATAATAATTGGAGTTGGCTATACTTTTATTCCAAAAGCAACTATCATTCTTAACTCGTTTGTTGCTATCAGAAGCAATCTTAGGTTATGTGAACCTGTCTCTATATTAGAGAACTAAATGACAATGAGGTTTCAGCTACAGAAACACCTGTGCCAAGAATAATGATTCAAAATATCATCTCTACAGCTGCATCCATTAGAGACGTCGCAGATACTTTTCAGAGAGCAACGTTTTCAATAATCAGACAAGCAGGAACGTGTTGTGAAGCAGCAACAGCAACAAAACCTTGATTATATTTGTGTTAGTAATCACAAAATTCTGAATTGAAGAAATATTATCTACATTATGTTACCTACGGCCACTAAAGAAAGTGGGCAACAACACACGAGATACAGCCTCAGTAATAATTAGCTCTTCACGCACAGTAAGCACATCGCAGTTTTCGTTTATTCCGCCAGTATAGGTATATGTCATGATCGCGGCTACGTGCGTAACTTTTCCATTTGTGCGTAATATATGCTTCTTACAACACATATTACGTCATATACTGTTATTCAACATTCTCTTTGCATCATTACACACTTCTGTTAGATTTAATATTGCTCATTACTCCTCAACTATAGAGTTTTGTAATCTTTGGGTGAAGTCCAAGGTAATCTTTGGAAGAAGTCCATGGTAATCCTTGGAAGAAGTCCATGGTAACTCAAAGTGGGGTAGTGTAGTTCATAGATGAAAACCCAAAGTCATCTCCACAATATTTATTAGAATGATCAAAGATCAATCTGATCAATCATCAGCCAATAGAAAATATTTTAGTTCTGAAAAAATCAGTGTTGACTTAGGATATAGATGCAAGAATTACTTAGTACTTAAATTTTTTTTATCGCTTGGAGCGCAAGAAAGGGAATCCCTATAATGTTCAAAGAACATCGTGCGTTTCTAGGGAGGATAGGTACAGGAGGTAGGTATTGGAATTTTTTTTGAACTTCTGGAGATCATATGTTGTTGGGAATACTTCCTCAGGCGATGAATTCCAGAGCCTAGCCGTTCTATGGATGAAGGAGTTTTGATAAAGTGCTGTTCGACGTCTTTCGAGGTTGACAACGAAAGGATGTGCTGACTGGAAAACAATTGATTTAGAATATGAAGAGAAAGTGAAGAAACCTGAAAAACTTACTGTCACTTGAAATAATATAAAATTATGTTATATATTTATTTGAATATAAATTATGTCGTTTAAGGTCGGGTTCATATTTTACAAGGGCCCACGTGCCCTTGAATTACCGAAAGGTGATAATTAAACTTTGAAAAATCAAACTAATAAGAGTTTGATGAGGTATGAGAGTTAACCTGTTGAAGAAAATAACATGTGCGTGAAACTGAAGGTTATAAAAATTGACATGACAGAAGTCAAATTTTGTGTTTTCATGTTTAAGACACTTTCGCCTTGAAATTGTTCAAGGAATATGCCCTTAAGCTATGAGCAGCGAGTGTTGCCGTACAGCGATACAATTCCCCCTGACGGACTCGTCGTGTTGCTCGGCAACAAAATTTCGTGAACAATGAAGCGACAGAATTATCTCGAATATTCAGAACTTCGTGATATTACTTATGAATATACAGTGTGGAGACTTCAACTGGAATAAATTCATTAGCGGGGAGGTGAATATTCACCTACCTTTTGTAAGAAATATCGAGAATATATGCCTCCAGGGGTATAGCAGAAACCACCCTCAACATGATTTTTTCAAATGTAACCCTATGGCTTGTGACCCTTCATTGGAAAGCTGGTGGAAAGGGGAATCCAGCGTACTAGTCACATTTCAGTTTTCCATATGTTCAAAGGTTGCGTAAAATTGAAATGTGATTGAATTTTTTTTTCAACGTTTAAATCGCTCAAAATGTGTGTTGAACAATTGATGGCAGTTTTTTGCCCTAACTGCTATCTGCTATTGTATTCCAGTGTTTTCAAAGAGCCGCAAAAAAATTGTTTTGCCGTATTCACAGTTTGAAACGAAGTGTTATTGCAAACTGGTGGAAATGCCCTAATAATCGGATCCCAAGAATCATATTCTTTATTTGTTGGTAATTGAAATATCCAATGATGAAATGAAAATGCGACTATTGTGAATGTTTACAGGAAGATATATACTGATAATATTGATATCTTCTAGTGTTTCATGAATTTGCTATTTTGATGTCCAGGAAGTGACGGAATAATGATGATAATTTGAAATTTTTATCGAATGGTCTTTCCCAGCATTCCAGAGATGAACTACTAATACCTATATATACTCATAACTGGCTCATTTATATGCAGTATCAGTTCATGTTTTCAAAAATGTCTCCCTATTATGTGATATTGTATTTCTATATCTTCCGTAATAGTTTTTGTGAAGTTATACCAACATACGTGGTGAGTTGATTAATTTTATTTTTTTCAAAAAGTGAATTTTCAACAGGCAGAAAAGGTGTAGGCTACTGCCTAGGCAAAAAAGTTTTTTTACTAGTAATGATTTGAATCAAATTGGAAATCAAAATTGACAATGACTTTGGATGAACACAAAATGATGGATTATTTGGTGATATTGGAACGAATTCGGAGAGAAAATTATATGTCACATGTCATAGCCAAGGCGTAATTGAGGCTAGGAAACCAGCCAAGTAGTATAGTAAGACAAATAACTATTTTAGAAACAGGTCTTCGTCTTTTTACGGATGATTCCAAAACAAATTATTTGTAAAATAATGCTTTATTCTTGTTATTTATTTGCTAGTTCTTGGATATTACTATATACGAGGAATTTCTTGTGTCGAAACTTTTCAAAACGGTTTTTATGTCCCTATCTCAACTTTTTATGTACTATATTATTAGAATTGAGATTTCCAACCACCCTGTATCCATTCCAATTGAATATCAATCAATAGTACATGAAAAAGTTTTGATTAATTAGTTTTGATTAATTAGGAATATAGTTTCGATACAAGAAATTTTTTAAGTTGAAAAATCTCGATTTTCCACACCCTATATCTTTGTTATCTTTTCTGCTAGACCCCGAGTGTGATAGATCGATGAAATCAGCTCTTTAGGAAGAATTTGAAAATGCAATAATACACAGTGAAAAATTTCCAGGTGTAATTTCAACCGAGTGGATTTCAGAAATAACTCCGATTGAATCAACACTTGATTGGCAATTTCATACCAATTTTATTAGAAATTTGATAATACCGTGTACAGTGGTGTCAATTCACACAGTCATAGTGAAAAATTACACGGATGTGGTAATTTAGAGGGGTTCTGAAATATCCATTCGAGAGAAACACCAACAGGATGAATAGTAATTACTTTCGATAGTGGTATCATCCAAGTTAACGCAAAAAATACACTTATTATATAAAATCATCACCTAGTTACACCCTCACCAATCACAAACAAATCAGAACCGTGTATGAATTATGAGATTTGGGGCATCATCGTCTTGCATTCTCCCATGTGAATAAATAATGTTTGCTGATTATGAAATTACCCACTGAAAAACCTGAACCCATTGAAGAATGGATGGACATTGTGTAGGTATATCATCATCCAAGAATTCTGGTATCCAGGTTGATAGGTGACAATAAGAACGGATGATTTCGTGAAAATAATGCATTAAATAAATTTTCAGCTGATTCATAAATTATATATGATGATTTTCATATTTCGAAGCGATATAGAGTACTTATATCGAACCAGATTGAACATAAAATTGAATATCAAAGTAGAAATTTTGTGCACAGAAAAATATTCAGTGAATTTCTTGATAGATGGTGCTAGCGCTCCTTCGACGCACGTTTCTCGACAGCCTACAAATAGTATCATCTCAGAGATGTTCTGTACGTCACAATTCTCACTACATTGGATCGTTTTATACACTGAATACTAATGTTAGTATATCAGAGTCGTGTTATTCAACACTCAGATGCATACAAGAAACCACTGCTTCTCAGCGTATGATAACACTCGATAAGTGTGTTTTCACAACAGAAGAATATCCGACAAATATTCACATATTATCATAATATCATCAGTAAAAGCAAAAACGCAACAGATACAGTGTCAAAATAATCACCAAATGATTGTACAGTCACCACTCTGGTGTTGAATAACACGAATCGATCAAGTTAGCTCTAGATATACTCTAGTGTAGTTCTTGACTGTATGTAAGAACGAATGACACCCTATGAGGGTGTTAGAAATATCAGAGTTAATTCCCACTAAAATGATCAGGACCTCAGGGGACACCCAAGGGTGTTAGCTGGTGTGAACTGGTGTAATTTTTTTTTCACTGTGTATCCCTATATATTATGTCCTACTCAAAAAATCAAAGATGTTGCTATTTTTCAATATGAGCGGCAACGTCGCAGTGTTAAGAATATTTCAGGTGGATTGAACACAACTAATTATCCAAGAAACCAAATTTTCAGTTTAATCCTACGTTGCGTTCTCCAGAAACGTCTAATGTGCCATCAACCGTGAATCGACCTGTATATATTCACACCACGGCCTCATTCACACGTGAAATCTCTGGAATTTCGCGAATAATCAATTTGACCACAGCAAATAACAGTTGAAAGCTATCAACTCAATCGCAGCTCTCGCATCGTATCATAGTGATCCCAGATAACACGAAGACGTCCTGTGTACGTCCAGAGGACGTACATCTGGGACATACAAGACATCCTGAAGACGTCCAGTGTCGGTCGAGAGACGTCCATAGGACGTAGTGGGGAGGTCCGATGTTACAAGATAAAACGTCCCAGGGACGTCCATATTGGGCCCAAGTTTGGTATAGCGTCGCCATTGATACCATAATCAACGTAGATTTGCATTTTCTTACTCACAGAGATGAAAAAGGAAGCTATAAAGAGTTGTGAAAATTTTTATTACAAAATTTGAAAAAATCCCTTTCCTACCGTGGATATCGATCCCGCGGCACATAGATTACCAGGCAGATGTTCTAACCATCACTCTACACAACACTTTTTGAAATATCAGACTTACATCTCTTCAAAACATGCAAAAAATATAATATAGATTGAGTGCAGGAACATTCCACCAGATGGAATCAGGCTCTGAATATTCTGATTGGTAAGGTATAGGACAGGACGTAGAATGTGCATATAAATTCATTTTTATATCCTTCGAAATCGGCATCCATAAAGTTTGGATATACATTATTCAGGAAAATAATATGCCAACGTGGCCAGATTCACTTCAATTTCTCCACAAAAAAAATCAATTGATTAATTGTGACCTATTATCAAATGAATCGGCAGCCAATACCAAAGGGGCCTCATTACTACTCCATTTGGAAATTTGGAAATCATTGGGAAATATAATGAATATGAAGTGAATAATGAACATAGAAAAATTTGAGACTACGAATGGACGTCCTAAAAACGTGCGCTCTGTACGTCCCGAAGACGTAGGGAATGGTACGTTCTGAGGGCGTTCCTATCAGGTTCCCGGACGTACGGACCTGAATCGGACGTAATATGTACGTCCCCGGGACGTCGTGTGCTGTCTGGGATAGCGGACGAAACGTATTTGCGGGCGAAAAGTTAGTGTCTGCCTGTCTGCGGACGAAAAGTACTTGCCTTTGGAAAATCTTCCGTTCGTACGTGAGATGATGTTATTTTTGTAGAAGTCGACGAAAATAATTATTTATGTACGAAGGACGGAACACTGCAGTCTATTATAGCCAAGTCTGCGAATTGATAGCCGAGGAAACCAATCAGGCGAGACAATGGACACTTTTTTGCCGAGGTGTATGTTACATTTTTTCTTCGGCTGCATATAATTCGTCAGAACGTATTCTATCAACACCGTATTATATCAAAATATATTCGATCAAAATGGTAATTCAACAGAACCATAATTTAACGGAGCAGTAATTCATCGGCATGCAAAACATCATAATGTAATCTATCATGTTGTAAAATGAAGGAATGTACTTCATAAGAACGTAAAACATCATACCGTACTTTATAGAAATGGTAATTCATCATAACCGTATTCCATCAGAATGGTATTTCATCAGAATCGTATTCTGACAGCACGGTGAATCAACAAAACCGTATTGAATAAAAGAGGCAATTCATCAGAACCGTATTTCGTCGCTTCAGTAATATATCATAATGGTAAATCGTCATGATGGTAAATTATCAGAACTGTAATCCGTCGGAATATTATTTTGTCAGCAGTGTATAGTATCGGTTCTGTAAAACATCATAACCGTATTTTAACAGAACTGCAAATCATCAGAACTGTGTTTCATAAGAACCGTAATTCATCGCTTTCGTATTTCATCAGCATATCAATGTATCATAATCGTATTCTATCAGAACGCTGAATCATCATAACCGTATTCCATCAAAACCGTATTCCATCAGAACCGTATTGTATCAGCACGGTATTTCGTCAGAATGGTAATCCATCGTCGGTACAGTGCCCTATCGGGAACGGAGTATCGATTTTCTGTCCGCTTTTCAGGTATGCTATGCGATGGCGCTGATGAATGCATGTAAGATAAAATGAGTATCTGATCAGAATAACTATTCTAACATGAAATATGTTATTCTGAATGAGATCTCGATAGAATTTCACCTCAAGAATCTTTGTAAGCTTCTCAATATAGCTTCTCAATGTGAGATCGTATATTTTTTATATTCTTATTGTCGGTGTTTGATAAGTGTATTGAGGGGCAGTTAGTTTCAACTGCCTGCGTGCGGTATCAATTATCAGGAATTCAGTTGTACCTACGTAAATTAGATTGAAAAAAAACCTTATTCAATTCAGAATTTCCTTACACTCTGTAGATATGCATCTTATCGAAATGTTATATCTATACAAGGATATATAGAGAAACAAGGTGCTTTCAGAGTCAGAATGAGATGAATCGATGAAAAATTTCATGCGTATACAGGGTGAGTCACAATAATTTGAGCCCGTGACGAATTTCAAGATCATCAGATAAATAACCTAATTTCGAAGTTGAAAGTTCGTATCACCGTATATCCTGAACTCAATCCGTTCTGTGATAAGGTGTCAGGAATTGGATTACGATTTGAAACTTCAATAGGCTATCGACTGCTGAATTAGTTATAGGTAATCATTTATTTAGATTTTTTTGACCCATATGGAGTACTTACGGTCGCATATGACCACATTATTCTTCATATCACTATTTTTAGACATCAGAATTATTCAACATTAGTTAGGCTGTTTACATCACACATATTTCATGAACCTGAACTCTCAAGTTACCGAGATGAATGCGGAAAACTAAATATTTCACATCCCCATTCAGAATAATGATTATATGTCAGTTGTCACTTTGCCCGCAGTGAGATATAAAAAATGGAATCACTTTT